CAGTGGGGCTACCCCCCATAGTGCAGGGATTAACTGGAAAAGTGGAAGGCATGCGATGACCCACCAACTGAGAACCAATGATTTACACAATACCCCTTTCAGCTTACTTTCTCCTGGACGCTGTGTTCTGTGTTCCTTCGAGCACAGCGTGTGTCCTGAACAGGCCTCCTGGGTCTGTCAGCTGGTGGGGGCGGGGCCGGCTCCTCTCAGTGTGTGATCTGCCTGGCAGCTCCGTGCTCTGTGATCAATGGAGCGTTCAGAGCGGCCGTCGGGCACAGCTGGCCGGGCCGAACAGAAACAAGCTGATGATGTTCGGGCTGGCCCGGCCCACCGGGCAAGTGCCCGGTTTGCCCTATGGCCAGTCCGGCCCTGCCCCTAGACATAAACAAGCAGTTAGATATATGCATATACACATATACATTTTTGCATGCTTACTGTTCCATATTTTCATAACTGATTTTATATACAGCCAATATATGTGTAGATTCGCCTGTTAATGCAGTCAGCATGCTTGCTAAACAACTGCTGAGATAATATATACATATATGTCACATAAAGAATGTGCTAAGCAAATTAATAGACCTGCATTCAGAGGGAAGAATGGTAAAGCCTGGGCTGAATTTAACGTTAGGCACATTGGCCATGCAGATACATATACTTGACTTTTCCCTGTAAAGTTACTAGACACAATTTTTTAATCATAAACAGAAATAGCATATTTACACTATCACCTTCTTCTAAACCAGGTCATAAATGAGGATGAGCTCAGGTTCGGATTGAACCTGTCCCGGACCTGAGCTCATCTAAACACGGAAGCTACAGGGGCTTTCTGCCCAATCAGCTGCGGGTCAGGTCATTTCGTGCTTCACACCTGACCATAAACAAATGGACTGGGCTTGTGCTGATGTAATTGATCTTATATGGCCACATGACCCTACATGGTAAATGTAATTTACCTAATATAGCCATGTAGCCATATAAGGTAAATTACATCACTACACCCGGCCCCTTTGCTTACGAAATCCCTGCCCTCTGCTGATTGGGCATCAGGGAAGGAGCTTCCTTTCCTGTTCGGGAGGAGCTCCTTCCATGTTCATAGGAGCTCAGGCTCCGACTGGGTTTGGTCAGAATCTGAGCTCATCCTTAGTCATGACTAGTAAAATTAGTATATTGTTCTGTGTAATAGAAGTGATCCCACTAGATGGCTTTTGCTTGAAGTGCCAAAGGTTATGTTCTTACAGGCTCCAGAGGTGCAATTCTGACCCTGAGTAAAGCACATTTGTAAAACCGGCGGAACAGTCTAGATTTTAAATATGGCTTCCCCAAGCAGCTCTGTATTTGAAGATCAAACTTTTCAGCCATGGATGTCTTTTGTTTTGTACAAGATGCACCCCAGGAGGTTTCTTGGACTAGAGTGAGTCTTCTTTCTCCTTTCAACATCCTCTGCACCCTTACACACTATAATTAATTTAACAAATTAGCCACAAACTTCCAAAGTTGTACAAAAGATGAAAACAATGTAAATAAAACTATCACAGTTTGTACAATCTGAGGCTTGGTTCTAATCCTGATGCTCTAGACACTGGCCGACAATACCATTCTGTCGCAACACTACATATTTACATACATATACATACACGCTACACACGGAAATTATTTTTAAGACAATGTCATGCTAATAAGATTACTAGTCTGATCATCTATACATATGTTTTATGTAAAATGTCATATAGCTTCAAATTTCCTCCAATGCCCAATTGCAGGTTCAGGAAAAATATCTATTTCAATTGAGGCAGGGTAAAAACTATGGGGGGGAATTTATCAAAACTGGAGCAGATTTGCAATGCAGCCAATCAGATTCTGTCTCTCATTTTCAAATCTTACCTGAGCCAACTGAAGAGAGATGCTGATTGCTTGCCCTATTCAACTGCTTCAGATTCTCTCTGCTCCAGTTTTGATAAATCCCTCCCTATGATTTTTATATGTCTTCTTTTTAAAAGAGACCCAGTGCCAGTCCAAAATCCTCTCCCCGGGGCAGTAGGTTGCAGAGAACCACCACTGCTGTGAGCAGCAGTCTCTCTGCTGCCGTTCCACAAACCCCCTGCTGAGTCACATCTGCATTGCCGCAATCAGTGAAGCTCACACTCCCTGCTGATTGCAGTGTTCTAGGTTTGACTCAGAAGGGAAGGGGGGTGAATCAGGCCACGGCAGAGAGACCACTGCTCACACACAGAGAGCAGGGGTACTTCTCTGCAGCCTGCTGCCTGGGGAAGAGAAGTTTGGACTGGTGCTGTGGCTATGTTAAAAATAAGATAACAATAAGACTTTTAAACATCATAGTCTTTATCCAGCCGCAACTGAGATAAATATTTTTGCTGAAACGTCAGTTGACCTTTGAAAGTGATCACAGACATGAGTTTGTGACCTGTTTGATGCATCACAAACATCACCAGACATCCCCAGTATTATTATCAAAGGGGGGATAGCGACTGAAGAGATAACTCCACCTCAGCCAATCAACCACCCTTCCTCTAAAATCAGTTGGGTTGCCTTCTCCAGCTGAAAGGTACCCAAGGCCATTGCTCAACACAACTCAAACTAACTGGAACTGAACAGGCTGGGGATTGTCTCACATCTATGGGTATATTTACTTTATTTGCATTTTTATGAAAAATCCGGAATTGTCTCACATCTATGGGTATGTTTACTTTAATTTGCATTTTTATGAAAAATCTACAGAATGAAACAGAAAAACACAGACCCAGAAGACAAATATACAATACAAAATGTAATCTTTATTCTTTTGGCTTGTTTGTAATGTAGTTAGCTGTAACTTTAGGTAATAGCATTTTCCTGCATGCAGTTCACAGTACACTACAAGTCATTATTCCTGGAAAGCAAAGGAGTCTACATTGAATGTCATTGTGTATCCAAAACAGAACTGAAGGTAACATGGTGTCGTAAGCAAAGTCATGTTCTTTTGGAAAAATGAAGCATGTGGATCCCACACATTGGCTAAACATTCCAGTGCAGCATGAATTAACAATAGTAGAATGAGTAATTCAGTTAGACTCTAGAAAAAAAAAAGTAAACTATACTTAAGTCTAATCTGCGGCTTTGCCAACTATGGATAAACTGCATTTTCTAGAAGGTTTATGTCAGGATTTTTAAACTGACAGCACATTCTAGAATTTGCAGCTTAAAGAGCACCTGTTAGCTGCACAACCCTTATTATTCAGCACAAAGTCAATCCATAAAAAATTAGAGGCACAGTGGATGTAGCCATTCTGAGCTGAGGCAATATACAAACGAATGCGCTCAATAACGTCTCTAGAAGCCCTTCGTGTAACTGAGCCTTTATGTGTTTCAGTTATAATGTTGTATCCAAAGAATTAGCATTTTAATGGATATTGGTTCAGCTCTGGTTAACCCAGAAAGTACTTCTGATTTTTCAGGTTTTTGGTGATAAGAGGTGACTTTTACATCATTGCTGGTTTATTCTTAAAACCAGTGAGCAAACACTTGTGTTCGAGGGCTGCTTGTTGGTCTGCATTCCATTTAGATCTCATGCCCCATACATTTCTATGAGCCAATCGTGTGCTTATTTGGCTCAGAAATGCCCTTGTACAGAGCCAGGTGCCCTACCACAGCTGTTGGAAAGCGACAGGTTGCCGAAACCTTATGCAAATCAACTCAAAATAGAACTATATTTAACCTTTTCAGTCATCGCTTTATGAAAGAACTTGTTGCTCAAGTATGCAGAGTACCCTAGTGCTAAAAGGCTAAATCCCTGATGCAGGCATATCTCACAGTTTCTGCATATTTAACCTGGTGTTTTCTAAAGTTCATCTTCAATATAAACATATTTTTCTTGTGCGAGCTGTGGTCCCCAATTTCACACATTTACTTCCACATTCAGCATGTGCACCGAAAGAAAAAAAACCAAAACACAAATCATAATAAAATAGCAAAATTTACAACTCTCTTATTCATTTTTTTTTATTTGCAAAGATCTCCAATTTAATAGTGCTAAGTGTGGGCGGGTACGAAAAGTGACCACAACATTAACCCCTGAAGTTTAGTTATTTTTTTTTTCTTCTCTTCTCTTATGTACAAAATGCTGAAAAATAAAGCTAAATGAATATTTACAGTATTTATAGAATCATCTTGTTAAAAACTCTGTGTGTCCTTGAACGCAGTTTGCAACATTTCCAATTTTTGTGTCTATATCAATACAAAACGTTTCGTAACAAAAGAAAAAATAACAGAATGCCGAAAAAAACACAAAAAGAAAAGTAAAAATAAGACGGAACATAAAAGAAAAGCTGCAAACTATTGCTTAACCAATTTGTACTGCAGAACAGCAGCAAAGAGGTTAACAACAGAGAAATCAGACCTCATTGAATAATTTGTCTTACTTAACCAATGGCGTATGGCTTTCCATAATATACTGCTGGACGGTGGGGAAAGAAAACATTGTAAGCAGCCCAGGCAATATGAACATGCACCTGTGATAGCGTCCAAACTATTTATATTGGTACAGAATATTTTTTTTTCTATTATTTTCCAGAAGCTTGCAAACTACACATAATGTGGTACATATTTGATGCAATAAATACTGTGCCCAAATCATTATTTCCTTGCTCAAACATCCACCACGTAGTAAAGGAGCTATTTACATACTGTGACACAGGCAATTCCATTGGCTTATTCAAAGTCAACCTTGCTGACAAGCTGAAGATGGTCAAAACAATAATGCAGGATAAAGCCTAAAAAATGGATTTTGGTCAACCTGTGCAATCAAATAAATGAATTTCACCCAAACCAAGTTGTGAATGTAATTAATGCCTCCAGGCACCAAACTTTGCTGATCTGTTGCATAAAATCAACTCCATCTTCCCAGTGGCATGGAGCTAAAATGGGGCAAAACAGGCACCTCTTGTTTATGTGACACTGCATGAACAGTTAAGCACCCCAACAAATAGTGTCACATAATGGTCATTTTTTTTAAGCTCTATGTTTTTATTTTTTTCCCATGCATGACCTATGAGCCTGGCATGCGTTCATGCAATCACTTTTCTCCATATATGTTATAGTGAAAGATATTGAAGAACACCTGGTTCCCATACCTTTGAAGTCGTCATTATCAGCTCCTTCCCAACATAAAACCCATTTACAAAAATAGTCGCATATAATTGTAGAGAACCCATGAATTCAAAAAAAGGATGAATCCATAAACATAGAACTTGTAAACATATGGCAAGTATGGCAGTTGAAATGCAAACAGTGGATACAAGTACTTTACTAAAGTGTTCAACACACAAAAAAAAAACAATAGGTTTGTATCCCACAAAATGGTCCCCATTCCGCACAGTCTGAGTAGCCATTTTGACTATCCTCTTCAGCAGTGTCAGCTGGGAAGTCAACCCCTTTACTTCCTAAGTGACCAGCAAAACATCCTTGACCGATGCATTGCAAGCCTCTATATCAGTGAAGAGGTTAAAACAGTAACCTCCAGTCAAGGGTGTTGAGCGTCTTTGTAGTCCATTCCTGGCAGGGGGTCACTGTCATACTGTAGGCACTGACCATAAGTACATAATTTTAAGAACTGTCAGTTTGGCATAATTCTCTGAAAGGAGTCCTGCTGACATAAAAAATGTTCACAGGCTGTAAACATTTTGCCACAAAAAAAGTTACTTCTTACGCTCCCTGATATCTTTTGCCATGTCTTCTTTCTCTGTTTTGTCTTTTTCATGTTTCTCTTTGTCTGGTTTTGTAACACTGTCATAGGATGGGGGAGATGTTGTTGAGGGTGTAATGTCTACTTTATCTGTTGTAGAGTTCCCATTAAGTCGGTCGCTCAGCACGTCCTTCCGTGTTATTAGACTGTCTCCATCTTTGTCTTTAGCATTACGGTACATAAAGGAAGCACGATGTATGGTTTTCCTCAAAAGATAACTTCGGAAGGCGCGTTGGATCACAATAGCTGACAATTCCTCTTGTTTTCTACGTAACGTAGAAGTGATTGGTTCATAAGAGACCTTTGAAGGGTTGGAAGCCATGAAACGTTCCTCCATTGGTTGACGGAGATTATCCATTTCGTCTCCTTCACCCAATACTCGCTTTGTGAAAGCAAACAAGATGTCAAGGCAGTGAATTCTGTCACCACTTACCATGGGAAGATCCATTGCAATAAGCTGTACATTGTTTGGTTTTGGCATGCGAAGGGGCGGATCTAGAGCATCGGCAAATTCAGTCAATTTATTGTACTGAATGAACTGTGTTGCACCTGGATCAAACTTTTCCCAGACTTCATAGAACATTTCAAAGTCATCCTCTCCAAGTGGTTCTGCACTTTCCTCTGTCGCAACACCAAAGTTCTCCAAAATGACAGCAATATACATGTTTACCACCACTAAAAAGGATATGATGATATAACTTACAAAGAAGAAAATCCCAACAGAAGGGTTACCACAATCCCCTCTAACAGAACTCCCAGGATGTTCTATAGCTGGATCACAATCTGGGTATTTACTGTTAAGAATGGGTGCTAACAAGCCATCCCATCCAGCTGATGTTGTGATCATGAATAAACAAATCATACTATTGCCAAACGTTTCAAAATTGTACATGTCATCAATTCCTGCTTCTTTCTTGACATAGGCAAAGTTGGACATTCCAAAGATAGCGTAAATGAACATAACAAGGAAAAGTAGTAATCCTATGTTAAACAATGCAGGAAGTGACATCATCAAAGCAAACAGCAAAGTACGAATGCCTTTTGCTCCTTTAATGAGACGCAGGATACGTCCTATTCTGGCAAGTCTTATCACTCTGAACAGGGTTGGTGATACAAAGTATTTTTCAATCAGATCAGCTAGGAACATACCTATGGGCAAAAGGAGGAAAAGAAAATATGAGCATACATACGATATATATATTAAACATATGACTTCAATAAAATGTTAGCAAGCAGAGTTGAAAGGTTCCACTTGAAAATGGCAGAATTCATTAAAGCAGATCTAGACCAAAAAACTAAAAATTTACTTTACAGCTTAGGGTAATTTCTAATGTTATTTTTAATCTGTTACATTTGTAGTTTCTATCAAAGGAAAACTTGTTGATCCTGCAATGAAGGCACTTCCTGTTCTGGGTTGGCAGCGGTCTCCCATCTGTGCTTCTGTGTCGTCACCCTGTCACAGATACCACTACAAGGGCCTACTGGTGACCGTGTCAACACATCTTTCCTAGACATAGTTTACCATTGTCACTACCAGAAAGCCAGTCCAGAGCAATTATCTGCAGCTGACAGTGAAGAAAGTGCATATAGACAGGAAGTGGCTAAAAAATGCAACAGGAGATCTGTAGCACTGAGATGCAAAAAAAAAAAGACAAAAATTTGAAAAGAGCAGAACATACTCAATGGCAATTTTTTATTATACAAAGTTCTTTGTGTCTATTAACTACTCTGAGAGGTCATTAATGAATGGCTTAGCTCTGAGGAGGTGTGTCTGCTGAATGCCTAAACTATTGTTAGCTGTGACTCTATGGCCATATATGCTAATAGCAAAAATCAGACACATTCAGTGAAACTTTCTGTATGCATGTGTACTTGCAAAATGTTGACAGTCTTTTTCTATTTGGTGGATGGTATCTTACACTTGGAATAACTCTTCATGTTTGTATCAATTCTACATTTAATTATATTTAACAATTCAATTAATGATGGCTATTATTACAGGAAATGGTAACATAACATCATCCTGGCAGACATTTTTAGGCCCCTGTTATCGGATAACAACACTCTGTCCCAGGCTCCCTATTGTACTATCAGGAAGCCTGCCCTGAATAACACAATGCATCCATCTGTGCATTTGCTGGAGTTAGTGTATGTAGAAAGCAAGAGGCTGCAAAGAGACTGCAGGAAATTAGCCGCACTGAGATGAAGCAAAAATTAAAAAAATTACAGTTGTTTACCCCACATAGTGCTTTAGCAATCTAAATATCATTTAGTTAGGATTTACATATGTATTATGCATAAGGATAAGCGGCAGTACTCGCAGTCATGCCTTTGCCAAAACATATTTTGATATATTTGGTAAAACATATTTTTCAGCATCATAATCTTCATTTTATATTGGTGAGGAAAGAGGAGGTAGTGGCCCTCATGGTCTGTCCATAAGATGTATTATGTTTGGTCATTTTTTAAAGAGCTCCAGCACCAGCCTTCCAGAGGGCCATTATCCCAGATGTCCTCACCATCTCCACTGTCCTCTTTTAACTTCTAGAATTTATGTTATCTCTTCTAGTTATTGATAGACCTACCTACTATAGAGAGAATGACAACCACAAAATCAAAAATATTCCATCCCATTGTGAAGTAGTAATGTCGTAAGGAAGTAAGCTTGAGCACACATTCTCCGGTGAAGAGCACAATAAAGACTGCATTAACCCAGTACAAGATATTTTCCATGTCTTTGGTCTGGTCGTCTGTTTCTATCATCATTGTTACCATGTTCAAGCAAATCAAAACCATAATGGTGATGTCAAACGGTTGCGTGGACACAAAATCAAAGACAGCACCTTGGAATCTATTCTGAAATACAGAAAACAAGATGTTAGGTTATATTGTATTTATTTATTTGTATTACTTTAAAAGATACCAAAGACCTCTGATGCCCTCCTGTATCCTGAGGTCCATTCATGCTACCCTTTGGTGCCTGTGGTACATCCCTTGTACCCCAGCAGCAATTAGTGGAAGTGGGAGCACTGAACTGTAAAGGGGGCTGTAAGGGCAACGATTTCTAGCAGTATCCTGTAACACATCCCTAACCACACCTGTCACAAGTCCACAGTCTCTGACCAATGCCCTGTAGCAGGTCCGCAGTCTCTGACAACTTAGTTAGCATTACACATACTATAGGTTTTGTGCAGCCCTTTGGTGATATTAGGAGCCGTGGGTGAGGTCCCCTCTACCTTCTAAGTTGAGCCCCGCTGTTGTAGACTGAATGACTCTGAGGCATTTTTTCACTGTGCAGTTCATCTCCTAATACCATCTGCACTCCACTAAATCTTTCATGAAATAAAGGTTAACAACTCACCTGTGGCCTAGGAACAGGTTTTTGTGGCTTTTTGGATCCTAGTTTTTTCATGGCATTGTAATATTTCTTTTGTTCTTCTGTCATGAAGATATCCTGACCTCCAAATTATAGGAAAGAACATAAAAAATGGTTATGACAAAGCAACTTATTTTATGGCAGAAATAAAATGTATGTAAACCCAAAAACTACAGTTTGATATGTTGCTGCTTTCTCTATTTATTAATAAGGTTTACTTTTTACACTTTCATGACTGGTCCCCTACATTTTCAGGGTCACAACAATTACCCACTGCCTTACAATGCAGCAGTGTTACTGTCACCCAGCTATGAGCGCTCCTGATGTGCCTGTTTTAACTTATAGGAGGAGGAGGGGGTTTAATTTCAGTGTGAGTGAGTTATGTTCCCTAAAGTGACCTACTTACTTGCCTACTTACCTACTCTAAATTCCCAGCCAAATTAAGGGGGGGGGGGGGGGCGGGGGGAGAC